CCTCCGGAAATTTAGTATTGGGGGTAAATTTTCTCAATGCTGTTTACAATATAAAACGGTATTCCGAAATTCAAGTCACAAAACTTCAAACATGGTCTATTAGTAAGTTCTGTCAAGGATTTCAAATTATTAACATAAAAAAATAGCATGGAGTATGTGTTCTTCCAGACTATGCTCCTATATGTTTTTAATCAAGATCCGTTAAGCCGTTTTGGAGATACCTTCTAACATTTATCCATTCATCTAAACTTCCTCTTTTATAATATTAGTAAAAAAATAAAATATATATCTTATACACACTTATTTCCACTGCCGAAATACATGTATAGAAACATGTTTCTATCCCTCTCATTCCCTATGAATAGAAATTCATTGTAATATAAACATATTAGTATATCTTTTAAGTTTTAACTACGTTTACGTAATGTAGAAGTTATGAAGATTTTCGCTTAATATATCCTGTAACTAATTTCAAGATATATCGATACGATATCAATTCTAAACATTAAATATATTCTATAAGACGTGTGTTACGCCTAAACATCAATAGTTATTAATTATAAGATTCTTGTACTAGATATATTGAATAGGCTTTGATCAATCGCTTACTTATAACTTGATTAAGTTATATGTTTATATTTCTTCCAAAGAGAATTAAGTGAACGCAGTTTCATATCCCAGTACTTTGTCGAACGTATATCTTGCTAATGTTTGGATGGATGGATGTTTGTTTCATGTTATTTCAAAACAGCTGTATGGATCTTACTGAAATTTGGCATAGATGTAGAACATAGTCTGGAAGAACACATAGGCTACTAATTAAGTTTTTTTAATTCCGAGCTAAAGGAGTCGAGGGCGACAGCTAGTAATATTACAATTGCGAATGTTTGGATGTTTGAAGGTATCTCCAGAAAAGCTGCATGGTTCTAATTGAAATTTAGCGTAGATATAGAACATAGTCTGGAAGTACACATAAGCTACTAATTAAGTTTATTTTTTTAATTCTGAGCGAACGAAGTCGTAGGTAACAGCTAGTTAACTTTTATATTGGTAGTAGTCTCTATTACTTTTATTAAGAAAAAACTAAAGATTTTTGCGGTTATTTAGCCGGTGTTATATAGTATCGTTTTCATTGTTTATCCAAAGTGTTTGCGAATAATTAAGTAATGTGTCAGATCGTACTCCCAGCATTGTGCCGCCTACTCGTATGTCAAGGACGGAGTGAATCATTTCGGAAGTTCTGGTAGGTGCTCGTTGTACGTAGTAAGGTCTAAGTAATTTTTCACAGTCCATTGCACATACCTTATTAGCATAAATAGATGAGATATGCATCTTGTAACTTCATTGCATGTAGATAAAAATTGAATTATAATAGCTGTAGTCCTCGACTCAGTCTGCGCGGAATTAAAATAATAGCCTATGTGTTCTTCCAGACTATGTTCTATATCTATGCTGAATTTCAGAAAGATCTATACAGCAGTTCTTGAGATACCTTTAAACAAACATTTATCCTGTTCAAACTTTCGTGAGACATTATACTAAACTGATATATAAACACGGCTAAACACTCACGTACATACGTCCGGTGGCGGCACCGACTAGTTTCGAGCCCATCGGGGGCCTTCATCAGGATGATGCAGTGAGCGACGGGCCGCGTCCGTGAAATAATACCAGTACCACTCATCCTGATGGGCTCGAAACTAGTCGGTGCCGACACCGGACGTATATACGTGAGCGTTTAGCCGTGTTTATATATCAAACATTTATCCATCCATCCATCCAAACTTTCAGATCTTACTTCTTATCTTACTAATATTATAAATGTGAATGTTCAGATAGATAGATCGATGGATGAATGGATGGATAGGTGGTTGGCTCAACGGATTTTACTAAAATTATGCATACATGTATGGCATCGCCTAGAAGAACACGTAGATTACTTTTTAAGTTTTTTAATTTTGCTCTAACGGAGTTGCGGGCGATTGTAGTTTTATATTTATAATATTAGATATATAAGATAGATTAAAAATGTCTATTTATCAATCATCATCATCATCATCAGCTCACTATACATCCCCATCCGAGGGGCTCGGAGCCTACCCTAAGTTAAGGGTGATTAGGCCATAGTCAACCATGCTGGCCAAGTGCGGGTTGTTTGACTTCACGCATATCTTTGAATTACTTCTCAGATATGTGCAGGTTGCATCACGATGTTTTCCTTCACCGTAAGAACGTCGGATTAATGTACATATGTAAATCGGAAATCGAAAAACACATTGGTATACGGCGGGATTCGAACCCAGAACCTGCAGATTGCAAGTCAAGTGCTTGACCACTGAGCCACCGACGCTCCCTATTTATCAATATCAAAATCGAATTAGGTTCATGTTGTCTACCGCTTCTTTTATACTTTGATGTAGGACTAATTAATAGAAAAAACAGCTAAATGTATGAAATGTAATTACCATACATACAACAAGAATTAACCTAAATTACGCTTATGTTATTTATTATCTGTCAATATTGATGTCATTGGATAATCTAATTTATTGATTAATTGCATGACACATTATGAACCAGTGGTTAGGTGGTGCGTCTTTAACCTTGAAGGTTTAAGATTCATTTTATGCAATGATAAGTGTACGTCAGTATAAGATAGTTCTAGAAAAAAATTATATTAAAATGTTTTTTAAAAAGCAAATTCTCGCAAAGGGAAACTGTCTTGTTTTACCACAGCCACAGCCGCTTAGTGTAGGTTTTTATGCTAGGGTCACCCTTAGTGATATTTATCACTTCGACAGTAAGTTTGTTTTCAGCTACGTGATCCCCAATGCCGGTCATAGGTCTTCCTCAAATCGCCACGTTATCTGTACTGTAAGCATCTTGACCAGATCTTGTGGGAGACCTGCCCACGCTGCGTCGAACTATCCGCCATCATTCCAGTTTGCGGTCTCATCGACTGTCCATCCGACATTAACTTATATAAAAATATAATGATATCAATTTTTTAAAACATTTTTATCAAGGTTTTGACATTCAGTTGACATTTTGATATTACAATTACAGCTTAAAGGTCTTCGATTAGTCTCCCAGATATTTTATTAGGCGCTGAAAAAGTCTAGAAATAAATATTAATTGGAAGAACAAATAGACTAATAATTAAGTATTTTTTCCGCATTAACTCCGTCCGTGTTGCGTGCGACAGCTAGTAAAATAATAAAATATTTCTTCATGTTTACACGATTTATCTTTTTGTGATAATAAATGTTTTTTACATGTATTTTGATAGTGGAAACTAAGAATAATTCATTCTTTATTATTAGAGTTATTTAAAAAACTGATTAACGATACTACGTACTGTTCGCAAGAAAAGAGATTTTTACAATGATTAAGCTGTTTGAGATTCCGATAACTCATAATGATGGGCAAAATCGTAGGCAGAAGAAGAGTTAGAAGGAGAAGAAAGTCGTGGCTGAAAAACATCCAGGAATGGACCGCTATTGCCAGCGTTGAATAACTTTTTCGCTTAGCACAGGACAGGAAAGGGTTCGCTGAGCTGACGGCCAACCTCCAGTAATGGAAAGGCATTAGAAGAAGAAGAGATTCCGATCTTTCGATTGCATACGCCATCTGTTGACTAATCTGTAATAAAAACTTCGAAAGTTTAAACTTATATAGATATACTAGCGGACCCAACAGACGTTGTCCTGTCTACACGTCTTTAATTTGAATAAATTAATATGAAGTTAATATTTGATGAAAATTGTGAATCTAAACCATTCCCAGATCCCCTTGAACACACACAAAAAATTTCATCAAAATCGGTCCAGTCGTTTGAGAGAAGTTCAGTGACATACACACGCACAGAAGAATTATATATATAAAGATTTTTCAATTCATTGCGAAACATCAAAACGCAAATTGAGCTATTGAATCAACTAACATTACTATCAATGTAACCTCGTTTGCCTCCATTTATAATTTATTATATAATCTAAATATATAATTCAATACATATGTAATGGACAGCTGGTACAATTTGTAATGTAATTAGTTCCTTATTTGTTAGGTAGAAACATCAAAATGTATTACAAACTACTATATTATATACTAGCTATCGATCGCGACTCAATTCGCGCGGAATTAAAAAAAACTTAATAAGTAGCCTATGTGTTCTTCTAGACTATGTTCTACATCTGTGCCAAATTTCACTAAAATTTGTTGAGCCATATCAGAGTTACTTCAAACAAAACATCCATCCATGTAAATATTTTTATAATATTAATAAGACTTAACATTTACTATTTCGATGCATAACAATTTCATAGACTTGACAGAAAAATATAGTCAAGCACGGATATTTGGCCCGGTAAAAGATGCGCTGCTATTGTGGTTATATTTATCAATAAATTTAGGCATAGTAAGTAATATTAGGCAATGCTATAAAAGAAAAAAATAGATGTCAATACAACAAATAACTATTTAACAAAATATTTTGTATTGTTTGACATATTTTTTGTTATAATTATAGTATATTACACTCATAAAAACTATAAACTGTTCATAATAATACACGATGTAGACTAAAAATTCGTTGAAGTCTTTTATATGTAAGAAAAAAATAAAAAGAAAATTTCGTATTTATATAATTATTCGAAAGATTAACCCTGTTTAAAACTTCAAAGAAAATAAAACAGCGTATAAACAGTTTTAATAATCATTTTAATTCTTGTAGATTGAATAAATAGCTCAATAAAATCAAGGATGTCGTTTGTGTTTCTTTTAATAACCTTTGTAGTAATACAAATATATTTAATTTCGAAGAAATGTAATAAAAATTAACATTATATGAGTCAGTTAAGGTACTAAAATACGTTAAACGTATCGTTCGAACGTTCGTAATGCAATATGCAGTATCCGCCCAATGCATCTTATACTTGAGGTCTGAGCTGATCCTTTGACCTTGAAAATGGTATCAATCCTGGCACATATATAAACTCAGCTCAGCACCAGAACTAACATTGTTGGATCGATATTTGAAGAGATAACAACATGAAATTGGTACGTCCAAAGAACTAGTTTGTAATGTTTATTACACGATTTTGAAATTATTCCATTATTTCTTACGGTTATTCAGCGATATTATAGTTTTTAATTTTATTTTTTAATTTGTTAATGTCGTTAATGTAATATTAATTTAGGAATTATTCGTTTTGTTAATATGACTGAAAAGTTTTAATTCATATTTAAAAAAATAGAACGTGTAAACTATTTAATATCCAGAAAAATCCAGTCTTAATAATATTATAAATGCGAATGTTTGGATGGTTGGATTTTTTTAGAAGGGTATCTCCAGAACGGCGGCATGGATCTGTATGAAATTCAGCATAGATGTAGAGCATAGTCTGAAAAAACCCGTAGGCTAATAATTTTCTTTAATTACAAGCGGACGGCATCGCGCGCGACAGCTAGTATTTAATGACGTAGTAATTAAATTAGCTTAAGTAGCACAAAGATGGTTTTATTAAAAGCCGATTAAAACATTAGATTTTCGTTTTAAAAATTGAATTTACTGTTTCCTGATTATATCTCACACATTTAATACTGTACTCTTTTTGTTTCATATAGCATCTAAGTTTTTTTTTCTTTTTTTTGTGTTGAAATTCACTTTCTGAGCCACTAACACGTCAATTAATCTACACTAAAGAAGACCAATTTTTAACTATAACTTCAACATTAAAACGTTGGCAATGCCATCTATATTCTAAATTTTAAAACAACTTTTACATTCCAGATCATCTTGGCTGCGTTGATAGGAGTGTGCGCGGCGGGCGCCCTACCAGCGTACGTGTCGCCCCAGTACCGCTACTACCCGGACGGCAGGCCTAGAGCTGCGTTGGAAAGGAACGCAGCAATTCTGAGGTCTGACTCCGAAGTCAATGAGCAGGGATACAGATATGCTTATGAAACTGAGAATGGTATGTACAGACTGATAAAATTGTCAAATAACTTTGATAAAATACTAAATAATAAATATTTTTTCTTAAATGGAGAGTTAAGTGTCGGAAACCCACGGTAAACTATTAAGCGTGCATGAATATTTTTGTAAGTAAAAACCCAACGTTCCTTCGATAAAATTGCGTTGTCGGATTTACTACGAAATTAGTAACATCTTAATAAGAATAACTTTACTTATATTTTATCTTTTTGAGGAAATATTTCTCAGTGTACTTGATATTTAACAATATTTTCTATGTAACCGTAATATTTAAAAAAACATAATAAATAAATAACTCATCAACCCCATCTTTATGTGATAAATTTATGCTTTAATTATATCTAACATTGGCTATCACATTACATTAATAATGTTGCAAAGGTTTACGTTTTAAGAGTATTAACTTCATAAATAACAATTTATAAGTTCCACTATAAGTTAGGCAACGAAGCATCTTACCCAACTTGAAGTAAATTGCCTGATATTTAATTTGTATCGCTCGCAAGAGTACCATCATGTTTTGTGAGATAAATATGCTAATCTAGTGATTAAGGTATCTATGTGCAAGGTCTTAAGTTCAAATTCGTAATAAAAATATAAATTGACTTTACGTAAAGTGAATCAAAATTGATGTATACAGATAAAGTTTAAATTGGTGCTTTACGGAATAATAATTGTCTATGAATGAATAGTAAAAATAAGTATAGTAGAGTCGAATTTAGAACTCTACCTCCTTATTTTGGAAGTCGGTTAAAAGCATTGATAACAATTAAAGATTACTGTCATACGATTGGAACCTCAAATTTTGGACTTAGATAACTAAGTTCGCTAAAGACATATGTATTATGGTGTAAATATAATTAGGGAATTAAAATTAATTAAAGTACGTCAAGTATTACAATGTTAAAAAAATAACTAAACTAAACTAAAGGATCCTGTACACGGACAACTTGTTAAGTATTTCATTCGGCATTTTTGATATACGGCGACCATCAACTGTAATAGAAGTCTTAGAGCTGTTGACTGCTTAAAGCATTCGACGTATCTTCTTCTCAGCTGGTCAAAGGCCTTCCACAAAGATTGCCACGATGATCAATCAGCCTCCGGCAAACATGACCAGTTCATTGGTCCATTTTGCGGGAGGCCTGCCTACGATGCGTAAACCGTATTAGACGTATCCGTAATCCTTAACATAAGATTATAATTTCTATTTCAGGTATCCAAGCTGACGAAGCCGGTGTTGAAGCGAACGGTATACAAGCTCAAGGTGGATACTCTTACGTTGGGGATAACGGTCAAGTGTACAGCGTGAGGTATACTGCCGATTCCAATGGATTCCAGCCGCAAGGCGCGCATTTGCCCACCCCGCCACCCATCCCTGCTGCGATAGTCAGATCACTACAGGAGAACGCCAGAGCTGAAGCCAGTGGGGCTTATGATGATGGTAGGTCAATAACAGTAAGTTTCTGAGGCCAAAATCCACGTTGAAAACATATTGTTATCTCTCCCAAAGGTAATGGAAAGTAAATAACAGGGATGACGATATGCTTGGTACATATGTTTTGGTCTCAGAAACCAACGGTTAGACTATAACAGGTCACAATGTGGACTCTAAACTTACAGTTTAACTTATAATAAATCTTAAGAAAAAACCTTTAAATGTAGAGGAGTTGATGTTAAATTAATATTTTTTTATAATTGCAGGTAACTACCGCGGAAAATACACTGACGCGTCTGGGGTGGTTATAAATCGTTACAACTACCCTTACAGACGTTTCTTCACCCCCTACAAGACGTACCAGTAATACAAAGGATCGACGTGCCATTAATCTATAGTTTAAAATTGTATAGTCCACTGTTAACGAAATAAATGGATTTTGTATTCTTTTATGTTCATGTATTTATTTTTATTTATATCTGACCTTAATTTAATTTAAGAATCACAAAATATGTTTTTTAAAAAAGGCGATAAAGAGTCATTTCAACAAAAATAACCTGTAAATTTTAAAATATCAATAAACTTGACTACCGCAGCGACAAAATACGAACCGAATAATATCTGTTAAAGTAATTTCAGTCTTTCAGGCTGCAGGTTTCACATTTTAATTGACATATTAAATAAAAATTCAAATAAAAACATTACTCTCCTTTCGAACAGACTTATACATATAGTATTAGCTAAATTTTCAAGTTGGGAATTTTCAAGAACCGAGCGTATCACCATCTCAAAAGCCGGCAACGAATCTGCGGTTTCTCTGGTATTGCAGATGTGGATGGGCGATAACACTTTGGTGTTCCCGCTGCTCGTTTGCTATCTGTAAAAAAACTTAAAAAGCAATCATACTTAAGCAGACCTGTCTAAAGTGTATAGATCTAGTGTTTCAAAGCTGAATTAATAATAATAAGAAGTAGAACATAGTCTGCAAGAACGCATAGGCCACTTATTAAGTTCTTTTTTTAATTCCGCGCGGGCAGAGTCACGGGAGATAGCTAGTAAATATATAGTAAGCAGTAAAAAGGTGATATATGTTTATAAGTAAATAATATTTGTGGCATATATTACTATTATATATTGCATGTAACCTTTTTAAAAATGAATCCTGTTGACATTTTACTTAGTGAATAATTCCATTAATTATTTAAACAGTACTAAATTGGAAAATACAGTACTAAAACATTGACACAAAAATGGAAATCTATCCATTACGTGGTAGTAGTTAGTTCACGTGCATAGTCAAGGAATTAAATTACCTTACCACTTAAGACTAATATCGTATAACTATCTTAATAAAATTATAAATGAGACTGTTTGGGTGGATGGATGGATGATTGTTAGAAGGTATCTCCAAAACTTCAGTATGGATCTCGCTGAAATTTGACATATACGTAGAATACAGTCTGAAAGAACATATGCTATTAATTAAGTTTTTTTCCGGTCGGAAGGATTTTCGGGTGATAGCTAGGAATTTAATAAGCCATAAGAGGTATAATTCAGCTCGTTAGTATATTGTTATGATAAGTATTCGATTTAATTGCATTGAACGTAACATGACATTTCATCGTAATGGGTAGGAAATATATTTCCTCGACTGAATCACATTACTTTTTATTTACTTTATTCAAGAAGTAAACCTCACGGCATCTTCAGAGTATCCATTTATTTACCATATGTATGTATGAATGAGCATTCGAAGACCTTTTATGCAGTTAAAGACACTTATAAAATAAAATGCTAATTTCTTAAGAACGTCGTAAAGTTTTAATCAAATTTATTTCCGCGTTGAATACCTATTTTGTTTATAAGCTTTCAACTAATTTAAAAAATCATTTGATCTTTAACTTAAGGTCCTTAGCTATGTATTAACTATCTGTCGCCCGACTTCGTCCGTGTGGAATTGTGAACCAAAAAACAAAACTTTTGAATTACCTGAAACTGTTGAGTGCATTCGTACAACAGCTGTGGCTAGCCTGTACCACTGTTAAAAAGTTTGTTTTCACAACTGGACTTACTTAATGTCCCTTTTTGTTATTTCGAGTATTTACCGTTATAATTTAAACGTAAATAACGTACAGTATGTAATAGTAAGAAGGTGCATCAATTCTCTCAATGCCGCTAGTATTTTGCATAACAAAGACGTGGGAGGTACTTGTTAGGGGTCATATTTGTCATCGCTAAAGCGTTTCGCATCTTCTCTTACACGATATAGACGCTAATAAAGCAATGAGTCACGTATGAAGGTATATTTTTGTCAATCGTCGTTGTAAGTAGCGCTGTTTAGTTCGTTTCCTGCAAAATTTATGTCCTTTGAATGGAGGTTGAAAAACTAGGGCCATATTTATCATAATTTATTTAATGCTTTTTTAAGGATGTTGGTGAATCGGTTAACACTTCTCAGTAACCTTTCGGAGTTTTTCTTTTTTTGATCGTATTATTTTAAACAACTCCAATTGTATTGTCTTAATGTGGTTTTCTGAACAAAATCATTGTATAAAACATATCGTCATCCCTGTTATTATGTTAGTTTTATACGGTGTTTTTGGTCTCAGAAATTCACGATTTGAAAATGGATAAGTTTGGTCTACCAATTATAGGTAAATGTGGCTTATGATATGGTTTACGACATATCATAATAAAACTAGCTGTCGCCCGCGACTGCGTCCGCGCGGGATTAAAAATAGATGTTGGCTGATTCTCAGACCTACTCAATATGCTCACAAAATTTCATGAACATCGGTCAAGCCGTTTCGAAGGAGTATGGGAACGAAAATTGTGACACGACAATTTTATATATAAGAATAAACATCTAAATTATAATTCATTTTACACTGTTTATACTAGCTCTAAAAAAATACAGAACGAAAGAAAAAACCATAGATTTTTATCAAATAAGGAGTCTAATAAACAAAAAATAACTGGTTATAAAAGAACGTTCAAAAATAAAAAAAGAAATTATTTATTTAATTTCCTATTACATTTTATAAATTGGTTCCATATATTTCTATAAATATAAACTATCAACAATTTCAATCATTCCATCTCAACATGCATGACATTATTGGGCCTACACCAAATGCAGCGTAGTGAGATCTTCCGACCTTGACACTGGTACAAACCGGGCACCTATATAAGCTCAGCTTAACACAACGAAGAACATTCATCGATTGATATTTGAAGACATAACAACATGAAATTGGTACGTTTACGGTGAACCAGTTCTTACTATTGTTTGGTACATCACGATTTTTTATACTTTTTTTATTTCGTATTTCCGATTTATATTGCGCAGTTTTTGTGCAAATTATTGAATTAAAATTAGTTATATAGAATTGAATTTAATTCAGTCATTTAATTGATTAATTTTTAGTTTTATTTAAAAGTAATTTTCCTTGTCTTATTATATTATTTAGATTTCAATCGGTTTGAGCATTTTATTCGTGTCAAATAAGTCTTTTTGATTTTCTTCTTCGTTCATTTGTTTTAAAATGATAGTAAGATAATAAGATGTTGATAATATGTTAAGAGTTTTGAATGTCTCGGTTAATTTATATGCAAAATACTAGTTTATTTTTATACCAATGCTCTATTGTTAAAAGTCTAAGGTTATTCTTAATCTATCGCATTAAAAGATTCTACTTAATATATTGTTTAATTATATTAAATAGAATAAAAGCTTTACTACTACAAGGGTTTTGTAGAAACTAGTAACGTTCCTTCGTGATTTAAAACACCATAATGTTTGAATAAAAGAGCAGAATATATTTCAATCCAACCTCAACGACGCCTATAAAATAGATAGAAAAAATATACGATAATGAATCATAAATTCGGATTCCAGCTCATCCTCGCAGCAGTTGTGTGCGCGGCCAGTGCGTTGCCGCAGTTCCAGCAGTACCGGCCTCAGTATCAACAGCAGTTCCAGCCTCAGATACCACAGCAGTACCAGTACTATCAGGATCAAAGGCCGCGCGCCGCGCTAGAGAGGAATGCCGCCATCTTGCGTTCAGACTCGGAAGTCAACGAACAAGGATACCGCTTCGCTTATGAGACTGAAAATGGTATGTGTAGAATTTATTTAATGACTGATTTAACTGATTGACTGATCAACTTACTAATATTTTATTTGGATGTATGGATTGATGACTAGTTATTTGTTAGAAGGTATCTCCAGAACGGCATGGATCTCGCTGAAATTTGGCATAAATATAGAACATAGTCTAAGAACACATAGGATTTACATAGGACGAGCTTTTTTAATTTTGCACGAATGGAGTCGCGGGCGACTGCTAATATATATCTATTTTTATACTCTACTGGCTTACATCACATTTTAAAAGTTCAGATTAACAACTAGACTAACATAATAACAATATATTCAAGGTTAGTATATTCATATAAAATTATAGAACAAATGTAAAAGACTTTAAAGATTTCATGACTAATTCATATCATCATCATCAGCTCACTGTACGTCACCACTGAGGGGCTTGGAGCCTAACCTAAATCAGTAACTAGACTTCACACACATCTTTAAATTTCTTCGCAGATATGTGTAGGTTGCATTACGATGTTTTCCTTTACCGTCAGAACGTCGGATAATTGCACATATGTAAATATCTAAAAATTCATTGTTAAATGGTGGGATTCGAACCCAAGACCTGCAGATTACAAGTGCTTTAATCCTTGAGCCACCGGAGCATTAATTATTTCACGCCTTCTATAAAATATAAGCGAATAACATTTCATATCAGAATCTTTAATACGATATGTTTAGAGATAAAAGTAATAAATAAAGATCAATTCGTTATCTCACTAGCTGTTCCACGCGACTCCGTCCTCGCGGAATTAATAAAAAACTAAAGAAGTCCAGACTATGTTCTATATATATACCAAATTTCAGCGGGATCCGTTCATTCGTTCCGGAGATATCTTCAAACAAACATCTATCCACCTACGTAAACATTCGCATCTTCCATTTACATATACTCGTATATATATAAAGAAAGTCGTGTTAGTTACACTATTTAGAACTCAAGAACTGCTTTACTGAAATTTACGGACATAGGATACTATTTATTCATTTTTATTTTTTTACTTTAAGTTTTTCTATATATCCACGCGGATGGAGTCGCGGGTAATAGCTAGTTTATAATATTAGTAAGATTTAATTTCGTATTGCAATATCGATCGCCGCACTCTGAACTTTTTAATAAATTAAAATGTTATCTCTGATCAAGTTTACGTTTGGTAGATGTGCTAACCTGTGTTTATCGAAAGATGTAATTGAGAAACTTTAGTGAGTTTGAATTCTAAACGAAATTTATTAATCTTACTAATATAGCTAATATTTGGATGAATGGATGTTTGAAGGTATCACCGGAACGGCTCAACGGATTGATAAAATTTGGCAATGTAGAACATAGTCTAGAAGAACACATAGGGTACTTATAATATTTTTTCCACGCGGACGTAGTCGCGGGCGACAGCTAGTCATGATGTATATGCTGTGATTTTATTATTTATAAATGTGTTAGTCAATAATTACAAATTATTGATTTTTCTTAATACGTTTTGCTAAATTTTTTATATTTTAAATATCTTTTTTGATAATTATAGCTAGAAATTAGTTGTGAATAACTGCGATTTCACGAATCGTTATTATAAATGTTAAATAATTGGACTCAAATAAAAGCAAAATATATAGAGGAAAATAACATTTTCCTCGTAGCTTAATATTGTTTTTTTCGCGAGAGAATCTCGATTTACTTCCTTATTGTATTTAACCAGTGTAGTATAATATTATTCAAGCTTCATGGCACCTCATTGTACACTGCGAGCACACATGAAAGAGGTTTTATTGCTGGCGCAACATCTTGTGTGGGATTCCGAGCATCCATAAAGTTTGCATAGCATTATACTACTGAGTCATTTTCGTTATTATTTTTGTAATAAATTTAAATTTTAAACGTTTTATATTATAATAGGTGTCATATATCAAGTTTTAAATTTATATTGTTATTTTGCAATTATTTTATTCGAATCTTTTTAATAATATTGTCATTTTAAAAACGCTTGGGACTTTTAAGTAATAGAATTCGACTATTTAGTTTCTTTGAAGATTTTTATCGGTATTTTCATAACATAGATAGTTATAAAAAGCCAAACACACAGCATCAGATAATTATTTTTTTTTAAATAATTTAAAATTTACTTAATGAAATGATATCTTTCTTAGAATTAAGATCTTTTTGAAAGATTGTTATCGCTAAGAATATTTACCTATCTCTTACAATTTCTTCGCTTATTTGTAACACTAAATTATATGAAAATACTTCCAGGTATCCAAGCCGAGGAAGTTGGTCGTGAAGCGGACGGTATCCAGGCACAAGGCGGCTACGCATACGTGGGTGATGATGGGCAGACATACAACGTAAGATACACAGCTGATGCCAATGGATTCCAAGCACAGGGTGCTCATATCCCCACTCCTCCTCCAATCCCAGAGGAGATCGCTAGAGCTCTGCAGGAGAATGCCAGAGATGAAGCCAATGGCATCTTTGATGATGGTACGTTAATTTGATCCTTCTTATGACTTCTTCACACGCACTTCAATCGGGAGAGACAGCGTCAAGCGATTCGGCAGTTGTCGGTTTGCGCGACCACTGTTCTGTTTTTGCAGCTAAAAATGGTTTCTGCCTTTCGTCCATGTTTTGATACGGTATAGGAAATAAATATATATACTAATAATGATTTAGATATTTGTATATATTCATTTTGGTCCTGAATTTTGGAAGAAATATAATTGATTATGGTAAATGCAAATAATAGCAATATTTTATGAATAGATTTTTAGTTACAAAAATTAAAGAATCTAATATTATTTCATGCTATATTCTAACACGAAATATTGGTATTCAATTTTAATATAATAATTCAAAGTTCTGCAATATTAGCAGTATATTTATCTATTATGTTTTAACTAAAACTTAAGTTAAACAAATCTTTGATTGCAGGCAGCTACCACGAGGGTAAATACGCTGACTCCGGTGTGGTCGCGGCTCGCAACCCCTACAACTCACCCTTCAGACAGGTCACCGGCGCACCCTACAGGACTTACCAGTAATCTGTGACAACCAAACTCAGCACGTGCCATCGATGTCTAGCCTAAGTTTATATAGTACTCCGTTTAAGTAATAAATAGATTTTTTACTCTTGTATTTACTTGTTTGAATTTTTAATCTTACTACTTACTTCTAACTAATATTTTAAATGTTTAGATGTATGGATGGATCTTTCTTGTATCTCGAGAACGGCTTATCGGATCATGATGATATTAGGCATAAATATAGAATATAGTGTACAAGAGCACATCGGCCACTGTTTAAGTTTTTTTTTATTTACGCGCGGACGGACTTTCGGGCGACAGTTAGTCCTTCATGAACATAGAATTAGGGAATATTTCATTAATTAAGCTTAAATCTTAATTAAATTTTTACCTTTTTCTGGGTCTAAAATCCCCGTTTAAAACATATCGTTATATCTTGACAAATACGAAAAACAGCGATGATATTTATACAGAGATTTTGGTGTCAAAAAGCCACGGTTAGTTCTTAAGAATGTTTGATTATTAGTTAAATTTTAATTAAATGATAACGAATTGTGTCACAAAGTAATTGAAGAAATACGTTATTATGAAGATTTTCTATGCAGCTATGAATTTTAATTAAATTTGAATGGGATCATTGTTACATCTACAACGCTTTGTTGCGATACAATTTATGTTTGGGAAACATTTTTAAGAAACTCTTGTTTTACAAATTCCAGTATTTTAAGTAGCTATTAAAATTCTGTCGGTCTGTAATATTCGACTGTAATTTGCCACTGAGCGAAACAAGATTTATAGACTAACTGATCTACAGAGATGACAAAATTATTAAATTCAATTTATACAATTAAAATTAAATTTATTTTACAGATAAAGACTTGGACTAGAAGCTTTGTTTCTAATTATTAATACCACGAATATAACATCCAATAATTTTATAAAACTAACACAACGCACTATTTATTCAGGATGCACAAGATTAGGAAATATTTTATTTCCATTTCTCTTTGGCTTTGAAATACCAATCTATATGTTGTTTCATATTCAACAATCTTTTACTGATAATAAATTACAATTATTTATTTTAACATTTAACATAAGCAAAAATATAGCACAACTGCGAATCCGCAGACAACTATTAATATATTATAATTATAAATAATCTCTGTTTATAAGTACTCTGTGCAAATACAAAGCTATAATTAGCCATTGTTTTTCATTTTAACACAAGATAAGTCATTGTTTGGATACCGTCGTACACAATAACACCCACGGATTAAACGCTCCGTTGCCGATTGCCTAATTACACCAATACAACAACTGTGGAATTTATATTAAGTACGCAGATGATTTCAATAGTAAGGAAATTTATCGATTAAATTATAATTTTAGACTAGTTATTTTCAATTAAATCTATACATATTAACAAAAGGAGTGTCTGTATGTAATATCGAGAAAAATCATATATATAAACACTGGATATATTTGCGTTGCTGGTAACGAAAAAACAATCTGACCGTAAGGCCATGTATGTTCCGGGTCCTAAGCCTATGTGTTCATCTATACCTAATAGCAGCGACATGTATGTAGCCGTTCTGGAGATACCTTCTAACGAACATCCAACAAACCATTTGCATTTAGAATATTGTTAATATACTCCGATGTTGACTTTTAGAGCTTTAAATTTTGTGTCCTTAAGAAATTCTTCTTTTCATCTTACTTTTCACATGAAAAATCATAACAAGATGCTCGTATACTTAACTACTTTTAAACGTTACTAGATGTCGCCCGCGACTCCGTCCGTGGATATATAAAAAAAAACTTTATTAGTGCAGCCTATGTGTTCTTTCAGAATCTCTTATATACGTATGCCAAATTTAATCAAGATCCGTTCAGCCGTTCTAGATATATCTTCAAACACCCATCCATCCATCCACATCACATCTATCTAAACATTCGCATTTATAATATTAGTAAGCTAAATAAAAAGCAGCTCTTCAAGGCATAAATTCGAAAATGTCCGTCTCCTGGCTCTAAGCTACCTCCTCACCAATTTTCAATCATATCGGTAAAGCCGTTCTTGAGTTATAAATAGTGTAACTAACACGACTTTCTTTTATATATATATAAGATTAGTTAGATTCTTTTTGCACGAATGGTGCACTTTCGTTACCAAGTCAAGAGTCAGAAGGATTAGTGAGAGAACATAAACGTTGTCATTTTACTAAGGCCAGTGTTGCGCCGATACACCGGCGCAGTGTCGGAATTTCTTCCTAACACTACATATAAATCGAATCACATTTTTTTTCCGTATTTTTTGCGTAACATACATTTAATCGTGTTATCGTAACATCCTCATTGAACAGGATGCGCATTTCACAAAAATGTTCGATCTTGTTATCTTGGGATTTTAGTGACCGTCTTATTGCTTTGAAAGTGTAAGCGATATGACATAGAGCTAAGAAAGTGTTAGAGGCCTCTTTAAATTTAGTAACAACTTAATAATTTAATGATATTATACAAGTAATGTGAAAGTAGCAAGATAATGCAAATATTAAAATTTGGAATAAAAATTAAAATAGGTACAATGAGAGAGGGAAATTTATATGCGCAATTTTGGAAGGATTTTTTTTCCAACGTAACGGTTTTTAAAGTAAAATAACATTTCTATATAATTATTCTTATTGTAAAAGTTTTTATAGTTAATTTTGTATCATTACTTTAATTTTTTTTACATATTTTTATTTAATTTATATTCTGGTCTGTCTATTCGTAAATAAGTCTATCCTAAATGCGTTCCACTTGTTCAGTCAACGGGAGCATCTCGTTACCTCAGATTACTTAACCATACATTCACACAAGAAAAAACAAAAACACTACTAAAACTTAGAACTTCAAACAATTTATTAACGTATTTTATATTTAGAAATAATAAAAACTTGCTTCTTTCTCTATTGGTATTCTTTTAAACGATCGATTTGTTAAAAACAGAGGATTTTGTAACGTACATATAAATAAAGCTGTACTTTTGAACTATGTATGAAACAACAGGCGGATCTATCACATACTAAAATTTTCAATATATCTTTAGTTATTTGTATCCTCTATTATCGCTTGGTTTATCAGTCGCATCATGTCATTAAATAAAATTGGCATTAATATTATAAATAATTTTGGTCGAAGTCCTCACTTTCAGTGGTCAAATTACTGACAACGTGAGTGTGACTTCATACGGGCGTGCGTGAAGCTGCAAAATTTCGACTATAAAAACAAAAGTGCGCTTTTTTTCTTCGCATTCATTGTCCAAACATCTCGAGCATTCAAATTCACTGTCATCATGAAATTGGTACGTTTTTCTTTTGTTTTTTTTTTAATTAACAAAACAATATCGTATTATGCCATTATGTAGCATTTACGTTGCATAGAAATGTAATTAAATCAATTATTTTTTTTTTAATATTTAAAGATGGAAAACAACACTTTAATATTATCGTAGCTAAAGTTCTTAAGATGTGATTTACAAAAAAAAAAAATTTTTTCAGTCAAAAAATTCTTCATATGTCTAAAGATAGCGCTTTCTCTTGAGTGTGACTCCAATATATTTTTTTATTATTTATACAATTAAAGATCTATTTATCCTTAATATTTTTGTTACGCTAAGTAAATCAACAACAACGGACAGTCTATCGTTTAATAGTATCATTATCCGATTCCAGATAACATCCATCGCTGCTTTACTGGCCGTAGCATCAGCAGGTCAGATCTACAATCAACCGCAAGTGGAGAACTACCAGAATACTGAAGCATACCAGCCAGGACTAGAATACCATGAAGGTTACGAGCAGACACATGCTTTAGGCGGCCAAGCATACAATAGTAGACCTTTAGCTGAGAAGACCGCGAGGATACTTAGTTATCACTCCGAGAACAATGTACACAACTACAATTATGGATATGAGACTGAAAATGGTAAGTTACAGTGTTTTTATTAATCCATTTTTAGATATATCCGTAACTAAATCTTAGAAGGCTAACCATGGGTTTTCGAGACCGAAATCTACGTTTAAAACGTATTTTTATCTTTGTTTAGTCAAAGATAAGGACATGACTATATGTATACATCGAGATTTTGTCGTCAGAAACCCATGGATAGAAAGCTAACGGTACGTTTCTTAGACTGATATCTAACTTTAAAACAAATTGTTTTCTCTGTTTTGGTTTCGGAAACCAACGATAAGTGTTTAGGCTTTGCCAAAGTACTAATTAATAGCAATTAGAGTTGATGATCTACATAGATATTAATATGTTACATAACAAGTAATTCAATTATCTTAGTCAAAGTGATGTAGGGTTTGAAACATGTGAGGCTCAATATGTATACTGTGTGTGACCTTTAGAGCTAAGTTCGGATTCAATTTCGATCACTACGGATGTAGCAAGATTCTCCGTTGATGACATGACATATTACCATCATCAGCTCATTATATGTCCCCACTGAGGGGCTCGGAGCCTACCCTAAGTTAAGGGTGACTAGGTCATAGTCAACCACGCTGGCCCAGTGCGGGTTGCTTGACTTTACATATATCTTGGAATTTCTTGTTAGATATGTACAGGTTTCATCACAATGTTTTCCTTTACCGTCAGAACGTCGCACAAATGTATGTACATATGTAAATCTGAAATCAAAAAACACATTGGTACATGGCGGGATTCGAACCCAGGACCTGCAGATTGCCACTCAAGCGTTTGACTCCTGAGCCACCGACGCTCATATACATGACATATACAAAATAGTATTATAATTGCTTTTAATGTAATTTATAACAACAAATTTTGTCGTCTATTTCCAGGAATAAAGGCTCAAGAAGTTGGTCAAACTCCTCACGGAACTCAAGCTGAAGGCGCTTTCTCATACGTAGGGGATGATGGGCATGTGTACACAGTGCAATATGTAGCTGACGAGCATGGCTTCAGAGCTCAGGGTGCGCATTTGCCCACACCTCCCCCAATCCCAGAAGCTATTTTGAAATCTCTGGAACAGAATGCCAAGGATGAGGCTAACGGAATTGTTGATGACGGTAAGTTTCATAATATCTAAATCCTCTGATATGCGTCCTCACTGAGGTGTGAATGGGGTTACATTTGTCATATACTATTCAATAAGCATATAATATATAGGCAAGAATAACCATATTGTTATTAACGAAATTCAGTTCCCTCTAAACTGCTTTTTAGAAGAAACAAACCGCACAAAACTAGATAGATCTTACTGTATTATTTCTTACTAATATTATAAATGGGAATGTTTAGATAGATGGGTGTTTGTTACAACGGTATCTGCAAAACGGCACAACGGATCTCGATGAAATTTGTCATAGATGTAAAATATAATGTGTAAAAACACTCATGCTATTAATTAAGTTGCTTATTAATATTATATTGACAGATATGCGGACGACAGCTAGTGTAATATCCAGTATAATATCTGAACATCTTCTTATTGTATATTACAGGACAATACAAGGAACATGCTGTATCTCAAGGACAAGCATACCAACAGTATGATGCAGCGTACCAACAGAATTACCACAGCGCAGCGCAAACATCCGCCGTTGAGACTGGATACCACTAAACTACTTAAAGAAACATAACTATACTAACCTTTTCTTTTATTCAAAATAACTTCAAGTAAATTTTAGCTGCTGAACTTTACTCAAACATGCTAAATTTATATGTTCTTAGTGACCAATTAATTTCTCTGAGTGTAGCGGTAAAGTTTGGTTTTTGCCAACATTTTTTACTATAAACACGTTGACGTCTATAATATCAATCAACGGCGGTCAAAGGGTTTAAACACTTATTTAACTTAACCGTTTCTTAGGGTAATTTTCGAGTAATACTGTAATTTTTTTCTGAATTATTTTAACTTCGAATTCAGTCTTCAAGACAAGTTTCTTGTCTAAGGCATTGATTTTTATCAATCAAGTGCTTAGAAAATGATAAATGTACAAATATTATTTAAGATGTTCCTTAATTTAAAATCATTGTTGATTTAACTATTGACTAGTCTTTTTCTTAAAATGTTAAGAATTCAATTTTTGTTTTTTTTTCTTGTTGAGTTTTTGTATTTTTTTTAATAAATGTATTCTTGTTATGTGTAAATTTTATTTTATTATTATACCTTACGATGTAAATGAAAAAATATATAACATTATATATCAACAGTATACACGTAGAATTTAAGTAAGAAAGTTTAGTTTTAAGATAAAAAAAAATAAAAGTGTATAAATTTAAGCAAAATTTTAAGATCTACTAAGTAATGAGGGCTACTTATTTTACACTTGAAATATATTTAAACTCTTAGCATCAAATTCTCTTGAAATGAAATACGTCTGCGGTTCTTAACCACACAAAAGTTAGTTAAAATAAAGGTTATATTAATTTAAATTAAAAAACACAAATAAGCACTCATAATAAAGAATATGTAAATTAGTAAAGATATTATAAAAAAAAGAAATCTTTAACAATTTCTTCTATTCACATAATTAGGATAAATATTATACTTTCATTATAAATGTTTTAATCGACTTTAAAACAGCTAAATAAGAGCAAGTTGTTATAATTTTTAATCATCATCATCAGCTCACTATACGTCCCCAACGAGGGGCTCGGATCCTACCCTAAGTTAAGAGTGATTAGGCCATAGTCAACCACGCTGGCCAAGTGCAAGTTGGTTGACTTCACACATATCTTTGAATTTTTTCTCAGCCATGTGCAGATTGTATCACGATGTCCTTCGCCGTAAGAACGTCGGATAAATGTACATATGTAAATCACAAATCGAAAAACACATTGGTACATGGCAGGATTCGAACTTAGGACCTGGAGATTGCAAGTTAAGTGCTTCACCCCGGAGCCACCGACGCTCTCATAATAGTTATTATAAGCATAATTTTTAATATTAAAATAATATAAAGAGTGTTTATTAAAATTATAATATGCTTAAATATCAAAACAAAGAGGTTACGACCTCGCCTAATAAAGACATCAACGAGTTATTAGAGACATTTTGATTGATACGTTGCCTAAGTATTACAAAAACCACCGCATTAAGTTACCAAAGAGTTTGTTTATTATTCATTAGTGCATATATCACTAGCTGATACATTGGTAATGAGAAAAATTAGGGTAGATACTTAATTGATAGCAAAAATTTTTTATTATTTACTTTTTTGCGAAATAAAACAAGTTTTAATAAAATAAATTATTATGTAGTAAGTTTCTACTCAAACATTTTTAAACAGACAATTTTCTAAACGTAATACATAAAAAACGAAACTATTTACATAAGTGGTTTGAAAGTTAAAATAGTGCAGAATGTTTTTTGCTTATCTCATCTTAGTTTTTGACAACATTTCTTGGTTAAACTTTATGTAACAAATATAATATTATAAACAAATGCGGATGTATGGATGGATGGAAGTTTGTTAGAAAGTATCTCCCTAACAGCTGCATGGACCTCGATGAAAATTGGTATAGGTGTAGAGCACAGTTTGTAAAAGCACATAGGATACGAATGAACTTAATCCTACTACAAATTAAAGGATGCTCGCGGGCGACAGCTAGTATAAATAATGTACATCAAATGAAACATCCTATATAAAGGAATGCGAAAATAATCCCACATATTGTACATTGAATAATTTGAGACCCACTCTCATCCATTGTGATTGACCCCACATATATGAGAGATGCCTTAAAGTATTTCTGATTGGTTTCCTTCACTTTGACCTACTGACATTCAGAAGTGTGTAATAACCGCTCAGAGCATTTTGCTCGATTATAATGAATCTAAGATTCGCGAGTTCTTATGAAACTGTTTTGTTATATTGCACCATAAGATATTAGTTTAAATTTTCGAAACACAAAAATACACAATCTGTTTTATATGTATTTACTAAATAACGTTACAAGGAAATGCAAGAAAAAAAATATTTTTCTAAAAACTGAAATCATGCCGTATACAATGAAATCAAAAAAAATTGCAAATTAAAAAGTAAGGGAAGATACACATACTACGTGACCTATTTTTTTTAGTTTTTTCTAAGTTTTTTTAAGACTGCATGCATACTTAAATTACTAGTGAATAATGTATTAGAGCAACTATATAATCCCCCCCCCCCTCTCCTGTGACCGACCGTAGTATTTTAAAGACTCCGCTAACACCCTCCCCCTAAACGGGTCACGTAGTATGCGTACGTTCCCTAGAACACAGCAATTATATGTACACTTATTGGTAAAACAATCCCAAAAGCCTATTGTAATGCAAATTTTAAAAAGAAAAATAGTAGAGTTAACTATTTTAGTAGAGTTAACTTTTTAGAATGTAGATCTCAAATGTGTCCTAGCAAATGATTATTGAGTGAAAGGATTCATTCACAAGTACAAATCGGAACAAATCTATTAGAGTCGTCTGGTCAAGGTCGTCGATTATATTAGGTACGGTGTTATCCTACACGGGTAAAGCTAACCTTACGCTATATTCTCACTAGGGCAGAACAGTTGTTCAAAACAGTACTGCCATGTTAGTACTGTTCGTACTGATCTGTTCAAACAATTGTATTACTCAATTCTCTACTGCCCTGCTTAACTGTTCTGCCCTCGTGTGAAATTAGCATTATATCGATTTATGATTAGTCACTCGTTGCATTGTTAACCGTGTAGATTCATACCTGTCATAATATCACGGCAACATTTCATAAAATGACGCGTGAATTCACTTACGATGCGAGCTGAAATGTCAGCTTTTAAACTTTCGTACATCACATTTATGCTGCAATATTACCGGGGAAGCGTAATAATGTTAAACTTTATTAAATTCCAAAGGAAATTTATATAAATTGGTAATATAAGTAATAAATTGCTTTAAGGTACATATACGTACTTATTATTAATATAGTTAAAAAGTCAATTATTAATAAAGCATAATAATTGGTTCACATTATTTTGATTAATAACTGAAATACTGTAATTAAGAATACTGTATAAAAACACATAAATAATAGTATGTGCAAAGAGCTATTAAATTATAGATTAAGGTCTTTATAGGGATATAATTTATATCGAAAAAATATCTATCAAACTTAGGGACTTGGCGTATAATAAGGACATGGGGTTATATTCTATAATATATCTTACTAATCTCACTAATACAATCTATAACGAATGCTTAAGTTTCAATGGATGGATGGATGTTTGTTAGGATGTATCTCCGAAACGGCTCAACGGATCTTGATTAAATTACATTACATTGAAGAGCAAAGGCTACTTATTAAGTATTTTTTAACTCCGCACGAACGGCGTCGCGGGCGACAGCTAGTAATAATATATATTTGTTGAACAAATAAACAAGAAAGTACTAAGATTGGTGACCAAGATAAAGGAATACCAAAGGATGTATGGATGGATGTATGAAAGAGGATTTGTGTAAGAAGAGGGTAAATTCAGATAGGACGGGTGATAGAGATGTATGGAAGAGTAGTACTTTTCTTTCAACATATTATATTTGTGATACTAAATTCAACTAAAAAATTAATGTTAAAATTATAGTCTAAGAGCTAATTTACTAAATATTAAAATTATAGCCCAAGAGCCTGTCAAATGGCGTGTTATGGAGGTCGTTGACGTATGACAGTATAAAATAAGTTGTTTGACTTAAGTTCAAAGTTTATGCGCATGACATCTAAGTTATAAAGAGTTGCGAAATGTTCGGAGGCAGAAGGGGCCCGAAATAAGTGACATGCTGCAATCTCCATTAATCATGTAATCACAAACGGTAGCTTGTAGTAATTAACTTAAACTTAACTTAATAATCAAAAAATAATAGTTTTAAGTTTTTATTATTATGAAAAAAGAACAAATAACCTTTTTAAAAAGAATTCTGTGCTTAATTGAAATATTTATTAATCAAATATCTCTAATAAATAGCGTAAAATAGATGATACCACTCACCATCAGCTCACCATACATGGCATGGCGGAATTCGAACCCAGGACCTGCAGATTGCAAGTCAAGTGCTTGACACCTGAGCCACCGACGCTCTAAAAAAATGATATGGCTTTCATATTAAATAGTTTAAAGAATTTGGTCAAGATTATGGATTACTATTTTGCATAATTACATATATTTGTTTTATGCAATTTATAATGCCCACTATCGTGTTTCTATAGTCTATGCCATCTTTGAAGGCTTATCTTATTAATTTAAATAACCTATCTCTATTAACTCGGTGATGTCAAATCCATAGCTAGTTTTGATCTCGAACAGTTTGCAATGGCATTGCATAACGACCACCTACACATTGACCGCGGTCAAGCGTGCAGCAATATTACTTTCACAGATGAACCGCGCGTTTTGTCCTATTACAGGAAATGTCGTATTAAGTGATTAATTGTTGTACTCAGTCGGATGACTCAGTAAAGAATTGGTGTACACTCAAACTAGGATATCTAGCTAGGTATGAGAGGCGCTGCTATCGCTATTAGTTCTCAGAAAATATGAATGTGTGCATCCCGGGGCATCATTTTAGTTCTCTTTACCTTCCCATCGCCTTTCTTATAAAAAAAGGATTGGAAGTGGAGGTGGATTGAAAATATTTTCTTTCTGTGCATCCCCTCCTCCAACGATTAACAATTGAATTAACGATACGCAATTGCATATGTCTATGGACAACGGTCGTTTCGCTATTTCAGCGATTTCAGTTGGCTCGCTCATTTGCCACCTTGGCAAACAAACATGGCATGGCATGTACAGTACGAAAAGGGTATAGTCACACTTTTTTGACATTGACAGTGGGGCGCTAGTGTGCTGTCATAATTTATTTTGACTTATGCCTACTGAACCACATATCCTTGTCAAGTGATAAACTTAAATTAAAAATGTTAACCTTTGACATAATACATCGTATTTCATACATCCCCGCAGCCATAGACAAACATTTTCCACTAAAAAAACTCTCTGTCTGTCTAGACTATCTACATAATTCTTAGCTATGGTATTGCATACCAACAGCCATAAATTATTTAATAGTACAAAGTTAACCTTCACAAGCTGCAATCCAGTATTATTGAAATATCACATCATTATATA